TTAGAAAAATAAATGCACGCAACAAATATATATGGAATTATTATTCTAGGAAAGCAGATGGTGCTTAACAGTCCATATTTTCCACAAACATGCAGTTCAAAAGTTTACAAAACCATTATTTATATGTGGAAACACAATTTTACATTGCAAATCTCTGTATGACCTAGTAAATTGTCTGCAAATATAATCTTAGTATTAGCAAAAATTTATGATCCACAAAGTTTGCAGTGTTATAGCACTTTAAAACAAACACAGTAATATATATATATATGTATATATAAATCTATATAATTATATATAGCTACATCATTTCTAGAAAAAAAACTGGAAGTTATTATAATAACTTTTCAGGCTCTTCTAGTAATGACTGGAATGAAATGGATTCAAAACACAAATTCCAATAATTCAGTGCAAGTGCTGCATATGTTTAAGTTGTTAAATATCATCAACAGCCAGAAATAATAATACATAAGACTGTTTGAAGGATGTAACTATAAAGCACTGAGTCATCAGGATTACTGAAATACATCTTCTATTAAGAATTGCAGCCTCCTGCAAAGAGCTCTGTGGTTTCCGATCATGTTTTATTCTCTTAAAATTTTTTTTTTTGGTATAATAGAAAATTTCATTACACAGCTGCACCTATAACATCTTGGAAGATATTTTTTTTAACATAGCCTCGGAAGAACACTGCATCCTTAAAAACAGAATGTTTACGTATCTTCACTTGCCACCAAGACTAACCCTTGGTAGTTCTGAAAAGCGCTAGAACACTAAGGATTCAAACTTCATGTATTATTTTACAGTATGTTCAACTTCATCTGCCAATGAAAGGGTTAAAATGATGTGTGTCTTCAAGAAAGATATGGTTTTACAGCACAGAAATCACAAAATAGAAAAAAAAATACTGTAGGGCTTTTGTAAAAAAGGTGGCTCAAATGCCACAAATTTGTCTGTAGTTCTTGAGTTGTGTTAATAAATTGACCTTGTTTCATTGTGTCTCTTAACCATATATATATATATATAAAGATATACATATGATTTATTTGGCAATCCTATACCATGTTCACATGTTACTAGTTTAGCAGCTACTGTACCTCTGTTGTCTTTTTGCCATCGTAACTATATTTAACATATTATTGCATTTTTTTTCACATGTTAGAGTGAATTTTAAAAAAACCAAGCATGCAGTCACATCAATGAAGACATACTTCTTTGAAATGTAATACTGTATATGATTTATTATGTCAACACTCAACCATATCATATTATGTATACTTGGTATATTCTGAAAAACGTGTTGCTCTATAGGCATCACTATTTTTTTCTGAAATATTACAGAATAAACAACTTGAAAGTCTTCCACAGTTATTATTAAAGAAACTATCATTAGTATTATATATATATGTGCTAAGACGGAGTCTTGATATCTTTTTTTCGATGTTCTGGATCCACATATTCTAAAATTAAAAACAGACATAATCTCAGCTTCATAGGCTGTCATGTGTTTAAACATCTCTAATCTGGCATTCTCCTATTCAAATATCCAATACCCGGGAGATTGAGGCAAAAGTGTGATTTAACAAATTTCTCATTTCCTGGCATGGGAATCAAGACAAGAAATGGAATCTAATATTTATTATAGTCTGCAGAAAAAGAGAATTTCCAGAATCTCCAGTCTATGAATAGCTGAGGAAATTGCGATCAATACACTCCACAGAAATGTTTAATGCTTTATATATGGAGAAATCAGTTTTTATTTGCTAAGCAGTGAGATTCAGTGACATGCGAATCAAAATTTAGACTAAAATAATCAATGTGAAAAAAATAAATCAGTTGATGTAACAATATCATACAGTTTATTCCAGTCTAAATTTTGACAGTTGGTTCTCAGGTCAATACAAATCACTGTTAAGTAAATAATACCAATTTGACACTGTAACTTGTGCCGTGAAGTTAAGAGTATCAGAAATTCAGTTTTATTTACCATGACATAGTTTAAACCTCACAAAATGCATAGACAGAAATTTAATATAAAGAATTAGTTCGTTTATACATAAAACATGTATCCTTTGTTGTAATGCTTTTTTTTTTTTTTACTTTTTCATCAGTTTTTGGCAAATCAATAATGATAAACAATAATTAAAACTGTCAAAATAAAAGTTTAAATCTAAGCAATATAACAATCATCTAGAGCATTACTCAAATGTGGTTGAAATTGAAAACCTGAGGCTTTGCACTGGTTGTTAGCGTAAAGTATCTTTCCTTTAACATTGTGCTTCCATTGTAGAACAGATAAAAAATAGGATGAACTAGAAAAAGGTTTTGTTTTTTTTTTCTGAACAGTGCTAGGACATACAGACAGAAAATCAAACACAGTATCTACACATAATCCCGGATTAGTATGTATCTAAAAAGATTTAGGGGCATTAGAAAATGGGTACATGTGACTTGTTTACATCCAAAAAGTTAAATATGTATCAAATAATATTCAAGTTGATTTAACAAATGTACTATATACAAGATGCTCCTGAAATGCCCGAATACTATTTAATTAAGAAATAAAAATAAAAACTACAAGTCTAAGAAACAAAACAAAAATAGAAATTAACAACAATAAACCCACTTAGGTAAAATAAAAAATAAATATGGACACTGGTACCAGATAAATAAGATTACAGTCCACTAAGTAAAAGAAAATGGTTAAATAAATGATTTATTTAAACTACAACATACAAGAGGAAGAACCAATTCATTAAACTGAACCTGGGCTTTAATGTAATTCATCTAATATCCTTTTCTTTTAACCTATTTTTGATATTTGACTACTAGGAATGTTATACATGGCTCAGCCCCATTGACAGAAAAAAAGACTTAAATGCTATGTTTAAAATGTTAACCATTTGAATGCAAGATCCACGGGGCCATATTTTGCACATCGCTCTGGCAGCCAAACGGTTAAAAAATAAATGAAGAACCTATGCCACATTTTATTCATCTACTAAATTTAGTCCCTCTCGAGTGGTGTGCATTTAACAACCAAATAGACAGTACAAAGTATAAAAACATTGCTTGAAAATGAAATGTCAAACTCAATAAAAATATTGTCAAGCGTTTAATAAATTCTATACCTAATTGTATTGACTTTATGACTCACCGCATACATGCATACATGTGAATACATATGCATATACATAGGTGGTTATTTATATATGTAGGTGTGCTGGAGATTAAATAGAGATTAAAGGGCAATCTGGAAGTATATTGTGTAAACATAAAAATAAAAAATAAAATGGTATTTTGAAGTGATAAATCTTGTTAAGGCTGTATATTCAAGCACTGTATGACTGAATGTTAACGGAAGGAAGGGCATGATTTTTAAGCAATATGAAAAGTCCCATGTTATGATTTGCAATTAAAGTATGGTGCTGTCAACAGCTGAATGTTGGCACAAGCTGGCTATTGATAGTAGAAGTTAATAAAATATAGCGGAAGATGGTAAAAAATGAATTCTGAAAGATGATAGCCAGTATTCCCCAGCATTCAGCCTGATAAGTAAAACTCAGAGTAACCAGGTTTGCATTTAAATGAAATATTCTTTCTTCTCCTCCGCGTTAACTTGGCTGCCTTCTGCATTGATAATGGCTGTATCTGCATCAGGGGCATCTTCCGCTCCTTTAGCTTCATTTGTTAAATATGTCCCTACAGAGATCAAGATTATAGAAATGGTTGTTAGAAATTTTACTTGTTGTCACCTGTCTCTTGTTTCATTTAGAGATTGATGTGGAGCAAAGCAGCTTACAATACATTACCATATAATTTATATACAATATTCAGATCTGCATCAGATTATTATAATGAAGTTTCTGAATTCTGAATGTTGGCATTTTTGTTCTTACTCGAACAGAAACAAAACACAAACTACTATTAAATAAACATTACATTTAACTTTAAAGGAACATTATATGGTCAGGAATGCAAACATTTATGTTACACTACAGTGTTGGAATGCAGCATTAGGTCCATGGCCCCCTTCGCTCTGGAGATTAATTGTGATTTTAATCAGCTGTTCTCACACGCCGTGTTGGTCTTGCGCTGGCTGGCCTTGCCTGGCTCTGCCTCTATGGCTGAGATCATCAATTATTATTTTAGCCAATCCAATGCTTTTCAGTAGGAAAGCATTGGGAGGCTATTGCACATGGACGTCAAAACACAGCCCTGGCCAATCAGCATCTCCTCATAGAGATGCATCAAACCAATGCATCTCTATGGATAATGTTCAGCACCTTCATGCAGAGTGTGAAGAACCTGGATGCTAGTCCTGCGCACTGTGCAGCACTGATTGACTGGACTGCCTTTAGAGGTGTTACTAACCAGCAATGTAAACACTTAATTTTCTCTAAAAAGACAGTGTTTGCAGTTCTAACCCTGCAGGGACATGCTATAGACACCAGAGCCACTACATATATATGAAACTATTATGTAAAACATGCTTTTTTAATAAGAAAATCTTTTTAAAATCTTAACAATAAGTTGTTCTGGAGTTATTAAAGCCACAACAGTTGAGTTATTATAAACAGATAAATCAATGTCACATATCGTTTTTTTCCCCATAACATGATTCATAACATTTATTACAGGGACACTTCATTGCCCAAATAAATAAGAATCATTTTTTAGTCCATATATCCCACTGAAAACATGCATGCAGTTAATTATGCAATTTTTAATTGGCGGTATATCAAAAGCAGCCCAAAAAGCTGCAGATCTCTTGTCTAGAGCCTTTACAAGCCCTCCCCTTATTCCTCAGCCCAGACATTATGTGGCTGTTCAATTACAGACTTCCTAAATTCAGCTCAATGAGAAGTATGTGCAAGGCAAGTGCTCTGAGCAATGCCTGCCTCTTGGCAGGAATTAACAGGACCTGTTGTCTTATTGACAGCTAGGGTGGTGTAACAATGTTAGTTTCTAAAAGTGACAATTTCTATTGGTTATTTTAGACTAAAATTCAGTAATCCTATATATATATATATATATATATATATATATAACCAAGAGGACTGCACTCTCAGAAAGTTGTGCTAAAATAAAAGAAATTGAACTACTAATAGTAGCCTATGTGTGCTATTCTTTCATATATATATATTAGAATCGCTAAAAGTACAGCAAAACATTTATTTTTTGAGGTTGGAAAATTTTTGGTTTTAAATAATTAGTTTCAGACCTAAAAAATTTCATGACTTCAACTTCCAGACCAGAACCACAAAAACTGCAGTCCAGGGCTGGTTTCTAACTGTAATTCAGTAATATATATATATATATATATATATATACACACACACACACACACACACATATATATATATATATATATATACATATATATACATATATATATATATAAAGCAAAATAAGGTAGAAAGATAGACAGAAAAACAGACGATTAGACACCTAGAAGTACAGACACATTGAATTAAATTAAATATTAGAAGTACAGTGCTCTAAATAAAAATTTTAACAGATACAAATATTTAACAGAAGTCAAAGATACATTTAACATGATAATTGGGACCGCATGGACTTCTCTTAACAGAGCTCCTAGAGCCTGAGAGTCTAATCTTCAAACATCAGGCTTTATTTTCGAGACAGGACACCCCAAGAGACATATCTCTTCCCAACAATCGACCAGCAAAACACCAGATGAAAAATCGTGAGCCCTCACTAACTATTTTGGAGACAATATTTACCCACACTCATGTCTGATGGGCCCCAATTTGGCTCCCAGCTCACAGAGTAATAATTCACCTTCATTGAGCCCTGAAGAATCTGAACACTTATCTACTCGGGTAGATCAAGATGTAAGGGAGATGCTAAAAAACTTACCCCTTAAGCAAGACCTGGCCAAGATGCTAGGGAAACTGAAAGTCTCCTTCCAGGCTAAGCTGGACACTATTGGGGCTTATATTCGACATTTCGTTAGAGTTACAACTTTGGGAGACAACAGAGACACTCGGTACACTCGGGTCCAACACCTACAAGAAACAATGGAGGCTCATGCATCACACCTCCCAGCATTTTAAATAACCGTTGATCTCGACAACAGAGGGAGGCGTAACTACCTTCGAATCAAAAGGCTCCCAGGAATGACTGGGAAGATATTGCTACCACACTACAAAACCTTTTTAATCTTGTTTGGGCAGCAGACTCACCAATACTGCTGGATAGAGCATACAGGGTACTTAGCCCCAGAGGGGCACCGTTGGACAGGCCATGGGACGTGATATGCTGTCTCCATTACTATGCATGCAAGAAGAGATTCTACAAGCCTTGCGACAATCCACCCAACCTCTCTTATACCATGACTCATTGATATATATCTATCCAGACCTGTCCTGGATGACCCTGCAGGCCTGGAGTGCACTGAAACCCGTTACTAATAATCTTCGAGCAAGGAATCTACAAATAAGCTATATATGGGGATTCTTATTTCCCCTAAGTGTGTCTCATGGAAGATAAGTGCACTATATAACTCCCACAAAAAGAAGAAATTAGCCCAGCACACTAAGCTCCGGTACCGCATCGCCCAAAGACAAAGTTGCACACAGATAAATTTCCCATCAAATAGAGCGACTGACCTTTACCCATTATATGCTGGGACAGCCTCCTTTACATGGCACTCCTCATCAGATATGTAAGTCTACCCAGGGACTGTGATTTTCACTGCACGACCCAGAAACCGCATGAAACTGACATGGTATGAGGCCTAATGCAGTGATTCCATAAATGTAAGGATTGTATGCTGCTACAGTAATACATACCATGTATGATATATCCTGACAGGCCCAGTCTACCTGAGGTGCAGCGATCCATGGTATGGATATACACACACACTTTAATGATTTAATGTGCTTCACTGCCTCACCAACATGGGCTAGAAAGGTTGTTCAGATGTTAAATACTGGGATAAAAAGACAAATATAAATATTGTTAATAAAGGAGGTGGTGATAGTGGATGTAAATCCAAATTGCAGTTCAACCACAGATTCACTTTACCCTTAATACTGTGTTCTACTTAGGCCACTTGGCTAATTCAGTTTATGTTTCTACTATTATGCACCATGCAGCTCACAATTTAAAGCAAGGCTTACCACCTACTCGCATGATGTGTACACAGGGACAACAGTCTCCTCCCTCCACATTACACTAAGTCCCTCCACTGTACACATAATCAGGTTCCTTAGGTTCTTTGAGATCTACCTGCTTGTTAACTGAAGCTAATAACTACTCACACTTTTATCTTTAATAGTAGCAGACCCTAGGAATGGTGTTCATATCTGTATGAACGGAATTTCATCCCTTAAGCCCATTTATGTATTCTTTCTAAACGAATTAGCGCTGTCGTGTTTGCATGGTGATCTTGGCATATAGTAGATTGCTTGTGCCTATCTTGTCTTTTGGTGTATCCCCATCTTCCTTCACTCTGTGGTTTAGTTTCACAGCTACAGCAAGATCCCATACAAATTGCCTAATACACTCTGATCGACACGGCCTACTTAGCGGTGCCACAATTTACTGCTCCAATCTAGGACAGACACTGACGGTCCTCATGTTCACGGAGAGTATATTTGTCTACTCCATACCCAGGGACAATGTTTGTAACTATAACTTAGATTTTTATTATAAATAGTTCTCTGCATTTGTTACTTGGTTTACCTTGTGTTATATACTTGCTGCCAGGGGGAAAGGAAACGGGACAAACAGGTACTACAAGCTGCAAAATGGTTACTCTTCATGTATTTAAATGTCCAGGGCCTAATTTCTCCTGAGAAGAAATCCTTAACACTAAATGAACTCCACAGACTTAAGGCCGATGATGCCTTTATACAGGAAACCACTTTCGGAAAGATGCAGCGCCCTACTTTACACATACCATGACACACATATACCATGACAGACACACCATGACACAGACACACACACCATGATAAAGACACACCATGACACAGACACACACACATTACATGACACAGACAGACACACACACACAATGACACAGACAGACATACACAATGACACAGACAGACACAAACACACCATGACACAGACAGACACACCGTGACACACAGACACACACACACCGTGAGACCGACACACACCATGAGACAAACACACACACCGTGACACAGACACACACCGTGACACAGACAGACACACACACCGTGACACAGACAGACACACACACACCGTGACACAGACACACCCCGTGACACAGACACACACAGTGACAAAGACAGACACACACACCATGAAACAGACAGACACACACACACCATGACAGACACACACACACCATGACACACACACCATGACACAGACAGACACACACACCATGACAGACACACACACACCGTGAGACACACACACACCGTGAGACAGATACACACCGTGAGACAGACACACACCGTGAGACAGACACACACCGTGAGACAGACACACACAAAACACACACATACCGTGACACAGACACACACCGTGACACAGACACATACCGTGACACAGACAGACACACACCGTGACACAGACAGACACACACACTGTGACACAGACACACACACACCCCGTGAGAGAGAGACACACACACACCGTGAGACAGACACACACCATGATACAGACAGACACCGTGACACAGACAGACACACACACCGTGACACAGACAGACACAGACACACACACTGTGACACAGACAGACACACATTACATGACACAGACAGACACAC